TTTCAAAATATAAAGATAAAATTGTGAAATAATGAACCTTTGATGGTCTCTGTACATTCAAAGTGTTTTTTGTTTTTTGTTTTAAGAACTAGTTTACATTTGTTTGTAGGTTAAAAAGGTTTATCTGTTATGTTTTTTTTTACTAAAGCTTAATCCAACCTTTAAGGCTCAGATTCTTTCTTGTTTTTTTTAGGGCTGATTTTTATATTTTCCGCTTCTGAATTAATTTTATATTATTTCTTAACGATCACTTCTTACAATGAAAGATAGTTTAAAATAAAAAAAATTGGATCTTTCACTCTTCTTACAGCCACCATCAACTACTATTACTTGTTGAATCCTAGTGTAATACTAGCATCTATATGTGGCATTACTGCACTGTCATGTAATCCAGGTAACGGCTCAAAGGATTTTTAATACCAGCCATCCAATTTCAGATCGGACCGAATCATTTCTAAATCTTGAAAACTTAAATTTGAATGGGTTCTAATTTCTTAATCCGTCCCCAGCCGTTTATCTGTCTGCATCGACCAATGTTGGTCATTTTGAAGCATATCAGTTTTAAGTAAAACTTGGCCTGAAAACGGCTGATGTTTACTTTGCATTTATTTGGCGGTTTTGTTTCAGGGATTCGGTCAATCGGTGTTTGTTTGGTCATGTGACGGCGACTGTGACCCAGCTCAGGATTTAAGGTGTTCAACTGGAGCAGAGAAGCTTCTTTGGGGTTTTCATGGTATCCAAAGTAGGGCTGGGCAATTTATTGCATTTGCAATATAATCACAATAAAAAAAAATCTGCTTTCAAATCGCAGAGGCATTCAGTTTTAGTCAAAATACATTTAACAAGAGCAAGAGACTAAATTTCCCCCTCCAGCCCTTTAGGTGGCAGTAATATGATTAAAGTGGGTATGCTGCCGCACAGAAAGGAAGACAGAGTTGCTGCTATCACCTTGATTAATCTGTTATAATAGAGGTAAGACCTTGTTTGTGCAAGTTTAACAATAAAGTTCTCCAACACTGGACTCTGGAGAAGGAGGCTTTCAAGGTCATGAAGAAACTGAAACCCTGGAGTAAAACATCAACATAAAATCACAATAAAATCCATATTGGTTGAAAATTATGGCAATTTTTATTTTTGGATAAATTGTTTTGCCTTTATTATACCTTTTATTTTTAAGTCATTAAGAACAAGTTCTTATTTACAATGGCGGCCTGACAAGCGGAGTAACCATTTAGGAAAAGGGAAGTGGGACAAAATGCAAAAAATAAATCAAAAAAACTCTAGTCACGCCCTAATCCAGAGATAAATAGAAGATATATTGGCAATATTAACATCTGGTATCTATTGGTGATTTTATCGGCGCATCCTTAGGAAGTCTACCAGTTGTTGACTAACTTTTCTTGCTTTAATATTCTTTGATTGAACTCTTTTATGCTGTAAAGTCTGACCTGTAATCTTAACTGGACTGATCCTTGGAAATCCTGCTGTAATTATGGTGCAGACTGTGTCCACTGGTGAGCTGAATGAAGCTCTCAGTCATTTTCACTGTAGCTAAGTGGCTTTTCTCCTGCTGGAGCTGCGAATATGTGCGAGCCACACTTCTAATTGAGCTCTGACATGTGGGCACATGTTTCAGCCTCATGCTACCATCAGCTGCTGACGCTCCAGGGACTGGCCTCCTTCCTCCTTCCTCCTCCTCAGGCTTCAGCCTCCTCACACCTCCTCTAGCCATCAGACGGCTGCCTGTCGTTTCCTGCCACTGACCTCCAACACCTCAGCTACTGTTATAATTTACTCCTCAGGCTGGCCTGTCTGGACTCGCCATCTTCTCGGTCGCCCTAATGTACATTTTTAGGAAGATAGCAGCTTTAGATGGCTTCCTCTGGACCGGTGACGAGTTAAAAAGAAAAATAAGGAAACATGTTAAAGAAAAAAGGTGAAACTTAAAAACAAAAACAGATTTAAAAGTGAATATTTATGGGGTCCAGTAGTTAAAGTTGATCCTGCTCAAATTGACAGGAAATGTTCAACGCAAGAGAGAAACAGTAAATTAAATAAAATTCCCCATTCGTTACAAGAAAATAAACTTTTAGATTATATTGAGCTTTTTTTTTAAACTCATAATCATTTTATAAACGCAACTTTTGATTTAGGTTTTATTTGATCAACCAAAACAAACTGGATATTTAAAATAAAATCTAAGGTTTTAATAAGTGTAAAATGTTTGTTGTGTTTTTGCACTGAGCCTTGTTTGATCCAACTCTAGCTCTCATCACCATAAACTCGTCACGGAGGGGAAAGCATCATGCTGTGGGACGCTGTCCTTCAGCACAGAGAGGGGGAACTTTCTGGAGCTAAACCCAGAACATTTCTGGAAGAAAACCAGTTGAAACAGCAGGAAAACATAAAAAACTAGCAAGTGTTTAAACGGCCTAGTCAAAGTCCAGACCTAAATCCTAGAGAACCTGTAAAGACTTGATGATTGATGCACATATAGGATCTCTATCTAATATAACAAAGCTTTTCTGTTGGATTTTCTAAGTATTTTATTTAATTATTTTCCTTCCATGTCACTATTATGTAATAATTTGTTATTCTGTTGCATAAAATAACCTTTTTTCAGTGAACTTTGTGGTCATACTGAGAAAAATCTGTTTTAAAGATGATTTTATCTGATCTATTTGAGACAAACTGGTTGTTTTTGCATTTTCCTTAAACGACAAACAGTTCTTCACTGTAACTAGAGTAAATATATATGACAACAAAAATTTATTCAGTGTTTAGAATATAT